ACATGGGACAAATTTTATGTTCCAGCTTGTTCATTTTATCACGAAATTTTTGCAGAAGCTCACGGTCAGATTCAGAAAGAGGTTGAATAATATCGGTATGCTATTCATCATTCTGACGATTAAGCCGTTCATCAGCATTTTCCAAAACTCTTCATTGTCTTTCATGTTGCTTCTGCGCTCAGTTTCTATTCAAACGAGCTTCACGTTGATTTGAGGTTTCTAAAGACCTTTTTATTTGCTTATTTTCATAATCATTAGTAAGACGAGTTTCACGTTCATCAAGTGATTCTGCAGTTCTTCTTTTACGTTGTCTAATTGTGGCAGCAGTTTGGCTAAGATTCTTTTTATTTTTCATTGTAAATGACAATTTAAAACAATTCAAACAAATAATTTTTTACAATATTTTTAATAAAGCGAATGTATTTATTGTATATTTATTATTTTACTGAAATCATTGTATATTTATTTATGAAAAATGTATTTGTAACAGCCTGTTACATATCTTATTTGTAACATCCTTTTTTATTTTTTTTTAATAATAAATTTAATATGTGTTTCACAAATAAAATTATTATATGCAAAATTTAATTTGGAAAACTTTTACTTAATGTACTTAAGACAGTTTCATAGACAAAATTTTAAGTTATAAGCAATTTCTTAAAATTTTTTAAAAAATTCTTTTGTCTTAGTTACACGACCGATCTTTTGTTTTTGTTTACAATTACACCTGATCTTAAATTTTAATTGGATAAAATTGGGGTTGTTACAAATAAGACGCGTAACAGGCAGTTACAATTAGATTTATCCTTTATTTATTTCTTAAAATCATAATTAAAATCATATTTATTTATTGGGTATTGCTAAATATCACTAGTGGTGATTGTCACTACATGTAAAATATTTTTTGAATTTTCAAAAATTTTTGACTGAGATATTATTATAAATATCATTACTATATGTAAATTTATGGGTAGAACAAGTTTGCCTTAGATTATAAAGGCTGTTGTTTAGATAGTTTTTGAGAAAAATAGGAAAGTTTGATTTTATAAGCAAAATACAATTTTTTGTTTTAAAAAAGATTTTTTTTAGTCAAATTTTCAAAATTTTAGTGTGATTAGTATCTACTCAGGTTTGTTTTACACATTTATTATTTAAATTGAAATTTTTGAAAAAAAATTTACAATGTGNAAATTTTCAAAATTTTAGTGTGATTAGTATCTACTCAGGTTTGTTTTACACATTTATTATTTAAATTGAAATTTTTGAAAAAAAATTTACAATGTGTTTTTTAACTCTGGCCAAAATTATAAATTTCGGCCAGAATTAAGTAGTGTGGTGACGATCACCACTGGTGATATTTAGCAATACCCTTATTTATTTATTATAATCATATTTATTTATTTATTAAAATTATTATTTATTTATTTATTTATTTATTAAAATTATTAAAATTATCTTTAAAAGTAAAGTTTTATTTGCATATGATATCATTTTTATTAATGTAATAACACGAGTTATGTAATAAGTGACTACATTACACATGACTACATTACACGTGACTACATTTGTTTATAAGTAATACGAAATTTCATTCATTGATCAGGCTATAGTACAGAATGACATTGCATTAGAATTGCGTAGAAGTAGAATGTCTTCATGCTTCGGACAACTACTGAAAATGAATACTACAATACAATTCTTAACTATCTGTAAAACTAACTGTAAAAATTGGCTAACTGATAAACTACTCCTTCAACTTGATAAAATCCTAACACTATTTATAATAAAATAAAAATCAAGTATATTTGATAAAATAAATAAAATAAATAAATGAAATAAAATAAATATATCAAATAAATAAAATATAATAAATAAATAAAATATAACAAATATAATAAATAAAATTAATAAAATGGGTTGATCACCCTTGGCTCATTGGTTAGTCTGTGAGTCCCCTCATGAAGCCTGAGTATGGTGAGGTCACAGGTTCGATTTCCACAATCACGGAAATTAAAAGAATTTTACTGCGGACACTACTACCAATAGTGTGAAGGTACAGGGATTAGTGTAGGCTGGACTGCATCATGGTGAATTAGTATGTACCGGTCGGTAGCATATTTCAACAAAGGGCTACTTTTTATTCTACTCTATAAGCCCTTGGCTTTAGAGGGGGCTTGCCCCAGTTTCTTCTTTATTTTTACCCAGTTCGTTTGGGTTTGTCTAGGCGGCGAAGTTTCACCTGGGTCGAGCCTTTCTCTTTATCAAAGGGTGAGGTCTGGTGGTATGGGAATTTAGTTTCCAGTGCTGGATGAATTTTCCTACTCTAGACACGGTTTTTAGTTTAATGTATTTCGATATATGATAACTATTATTTGTACTAGTTAGGATTAACTACTCTTGGTGGAATAAAATAAAATAAAATAAATAAATAAATAACAAACGGATATATGATCTGAATAGGAGATCAGGGGTTTACTTTAGCGGATCACCCATCTTTTATCTTGTGATAGATGTTGATGTACCACAGAAGGACCTTGATAACAAAACTCAATGCATGCATAGACATCCTTTATTTAGATCTTAAGTATCCACTTTACCCAGAGTAAAATTAAAATTAATAAAATTAATAATTAAAATATTGTTCTAAAAGTTTCTAGTCTAAAATTCTATATATTAATAAATGTTTGTAAAGAAAATAAAATGCATAAAAAATTCTAAAGTAATAAAGGGAATCAAAAAAGGGCTTCCTTTAAAATTTGCCTAGAAACATTATTCTTTTCTAACATAACGTGTACACCCCTTTGGTAAAACCTTTGAAAAGTGATGTTACTTGTCCAATTTCCTAATGCTAAAACTGTTGATAAATCAATGCCTGCATTTTCGAACATCCAAATGCTCTGTTTTACTTAAAAAAACCTTTAACGTTGAAAAAGGACAAAGTAAAAGGTTATCTGCATAAGATCCTATAAAAATACATTACCGAAGCAATATTATATTCCTTTGGAGCTACGCAATCAAATGAATAACTATTATCCGTTGCTTGCAATGTCATCAAATCCATTCTAATTATATCAGAAGGATGGCTAGCCATTACAAAAAGCAGTCTTGACCGTTAGTTGTCGAAAAGACATAGATGACAATGAGATATCCAAATTATCATTTTGCTTAACTGTAAGCGGATTTAATATATGAACAGCTAAAATAGCCCTAGAAATATCAGTATTACGGAAAGGAGTGGTGTCAGGTTGAGGTGATGAGTATAGTATGGTGACATTTGGCAGGAGTGATACGAAGGTAAGACGAAAAGTAGTAGAGTAGGGCCGGTGTGTTGAGTAGAGTATTGTGATGTTTAGCGGTGTGTAACATAAAGGGTGTGAACTATACTCAAGTGATGAATAGACACCCGGCCAAAACGCTGGGCTGAGCTTGGGCTGAGGTGTTTATTTATCACTTGAGTATAATGCCACATCCACGTTATACTCTACTCAACACCTCCACCATACTCTACTACTATTCGTATCACTCAATGTAATTCTGTGGTAAGTTTTTTTTATGTAACTGTTAAGTATATGGTAAAATTAAACAGGATTTTAAAATGTAACTTGTAATTATAAAATTTATTACTAGTATATATTATTTTTAGCATAAAGTTTATTACACAGACACGTAAAATTTATTATACTATTTTTAGTTACAAGTTTATTACACGGACACGTAAAATTTATTATACTATTTTTAGTTACAAGTTTATTACACGGACACATAAAATTTCATTACACAAACACGTAAAATTTATTATATTATTTTTAGTTACAAGTTTATTATACGGACACATAAAATTTCATTACACAAACACGTAAAATTTATTATATCATTTTTAGCATAAGTTCATTATACGGACACGTAAAATTTCATTACACAAATACAGACACGTACAAATTTATTACACAAACACATAAAATTAAAAAAATAAATATGTAAAAAAGAATTTTTATGGATATCCATGTAATATAAAAAATTATAAAATAAAGCAAAGAACAGAAAGGGTAGGTGGGATAAATATAAGTTATTTTTTTTATTTTTTTTTTGCCAAAAAATATTTGTAACTATTGATCAATTTTGAACTTATTTTAAATAGGAACTTTTTACATTTTTTTAAAATAATTATATCTAAAAATTAGGCCAATTTTAAAAGAAATAAAAAGTACCAAATGTATAAAATAAATTATGTTTTATATAATCTATAATTATAAATGTTACTGAACTTGTAAGGTAAAAATATATGTGATTTAAAAATGTAACTGGAAAGGTGGTAAAATTACTTAGTAGAAGGAAAATTTGGAGTAAGATATTATTTACATATAAATCTTAAAATTTTACAGTGACCTCTATTAAAAGTAAGCAGGGTCCTGTTTGAACTGTTGTTTTTGGTGACAAGACATTCATGTGTAGGCTCGATATCATGTTCAATCCTATAGGTTTGAGTACACAAGTAGGTAGGTTTTATAAGTTGTGAAAATTTCTGGAAGAAAATAGCACTTTATACTTTTCGTCAAAATGACAAAATACTAATTAAATTCATTTTGACAGACGTAATGTATTTTGACAGACGTAATTAATTCATAGTAATTTTATAATAAATAGTGAATTGGTCCGTTCGCTGAAATACGACATAATTAATTAGCGGAGAAGTATATAGCACTTACCAATAGAATAATATTTTATTTGTAAAGGCCAGTTTTGTTCAATTTCATCAATAGACATAACACATCAATTATTTTGTTGATGCTAATGATTAATTGATATTATTATAATACATGAATTAAAATAAAATATTGCAAATACTGAAAAAAAATAAAAACAACTTACAAATCCATCAACACCTTTCCAATGTATCGTATCATGGTGTCATCAAATTCATTTTTTGCAGTATATAGACTCAAAATTTTTACCCTGATTTTCTTTATCGAGGACTGTAAAAAAGTATAATCATTTGACAATTATTTCTCATAGGTAGTCATTTTACTGACGTCTAGAATATTCTCTAACCACTTTCTCCAATCAACATTCTTGTTACCTTTCTCCTCTGAATTTTTTGATTCAATTGAGTTTTTATCTTCAGGTGAGTCTTCTTCAATAGTAAATTTGACTTTTTTCATAAACGAAATTATGAGGATACAATTGTTTCATTTCTGGTCGAATTACTGGTTTATTCATTTCTGATCATAACAATAGTAAAGCATTAATAATAAAAATCAATGATAATACAGGAAAATACTTACCCTAACAGGTATTTCAGTGACAGCTCAATCTACAGTAAAAATATTTTTAAGTAACATTGAAAGAACTACAAAATCATACTAATTAATAAATGGCTTACATTGGTCATAGTTGATGTTGAATGCGCAGAACTGTATCATGATTTGCTCAACAAGCTAGAATATAAAGCATAATTTAATTTTAGAAATCACGAAACTATAACTCAAAAATACGTGAAATAAATATACAGCTTTTTTTTCTTTTAGCCAAGTCTCCCAATCTCTTTGTAAAGTTACTTCCTATTTAAGAGAATAGACATTAAAAATACTTTGTTTTACGTCAAAATTGTCAACATACTTAAATACATACGTCATTATTCACAGCTCTAAGCTTATCGAGCTTATCGTCCTCACAATGATCCAAAGCAAGATTAAAACATTTCTTATATTTTTCAAACGCGCTGTTGGATAGGTTAATCAGAAAAAAGTGATTGGAGTTGGTTCCTGAGAACATTTTCTTTTTCTCCTTTCATTATTGCTTTGTTAAAAAAGAGATTGTGAGTATTATCATAAACAAAGGCGTCAAGTAGATAATAAAAAGTGGGCAGTTATTCAATTAAGACTGGCCACCACTTGAAGGTGACTCGCTATAATTAGCTTCTGATAGACCCAACTCTACACCAGACATCTTTCATGATAACAAACCCCATAATAGTCCTGATGCAACAAAGTCAGCCGGCCACCGCTTGATGGTGACTCATTATAACTGGCTTCTGGTAGGCCTCAATCCTACCGCAGACACTTTCTTCATGTTTAACAAAACTATCGATATAAGTATTACTTATATCCTGGCTAGGAACATGATCGGCCTATCGGCCGATCATTTATCCGATACTAGTAAAATTTTACTTATTTCTAATTAGCCAGGATATATTGATTTATCCCCTGTCATTTATGTAATCAAAGCTTACTAATAGTCTAATAGTCTAATATTGTATAAAAAGCCCAAATTTAATTTTAAAAGCTTATTTCTCCTTTTCTCTATATTAACATGGCTAGTTTTATAAAAGCTTCCGAATTATTGATTTTAAAAAATAATACTGTTATTTTAGACGAACTAAAAGAAAGTTAAGTCATATAGAAAATGCACAACTTTCTGAAATATACAAAGAACCTTTAAAATCATCCACTTTTAAAGAAACATATAACCGTCCTTGTATAGAAACTTTACAAAAGTATGCTACAGTTGTAAAACCTAAAAATATTCAACAAAATACACGTTTATGGTTTTCTAGATTTGACAAATTTGTAAAAAATACACAACCTGCTATAGATTTACTTACTCTTTATGATAAAAAGGTTATTGCACTACTTTTATGTGAATTTATAATAGTTATAAAAACAAGGGAGAATAAAGAATACAAAGCAAACTCTTTATACAATGGAATATGTGCTATAAATAGGTTCTATCAGTAAATATTTAAAACTAATGAATCATTTAATATACATGAAGATCATGAGTTTAGATCTGTACGTGATACTTTACATGCTAGAATGATTGAATTAGAAGAAATTAATAATGGCGATTATAATGGAGCTGATCCTCTTACTAATGAAGAAATGATCCAAATATTTGAACATCCTGATATGTCAAATAATATGCCAGATGGACTATTAAGAAGGGTCTTTTTATGGGTTGGATGTTGTACAACACGGAGAGGTGGATCTTACCATAATATTATAGCTGAACATTTTAAAGAACGAGATGATGGTGGATTTAATGTTATAACAATTCATGATAAAACTCATCAAGGCGGGTATTACCATAAAACAAATTCTAATCAACATCCTATACATAATATTCCACCAGATGAAATAGGGGTACATGGCGCATGCTGTGATATCAAGAAATATTTAAAATTGCGTCCAAGAAATGCTGAAGCAAATTTTTTTCTTCGCATAAATAAAGATCCTAAAGGTATTAATTTATTTCCTAAATTACACATTTAATAAAACTAGTAATCATTGATTAAAAATTATATTTATTGTTTAGAAATTGAAAATGGAAACTGGTATACTACTTCTTATATGGGTCGAAACAAATTATCTGGAATGTTAAAAGAGATCTGCAATATTACAGGAATTGATTGTACAAATAAAAGAATTGTAAATCATTCATTACGAAAATATACTGCTCAGAAATTAAATGACGAGGGATTAGATTCACAAGCAATAATGAACGTAACATTACATCGATCTTTAGCAGGATTAAATGTGTAAGTAACTATTAATTTATTAATTTTATGTTGCTACCAAATTATTAATTTGTCTTGCTTATTAGATATCGAAAACAGAATGAAAAACAAAAGCTAACTATCGCTAAGTTAACCCTCCCAAGTGTTTCTAAGGTTTATTGACTATATTGTTATTAACCATTGAAATAATTTTATTTAAATATTATTAATTATTTTGTATATTTTATTTACAAGGATGTGCCAGAAAATTTTAATACAACAGAAAATTCAAACGCGAAAAAATCCAATGCAAAAGAAAACCTTTAATGAAGCAGCAATTTCTAATGCTGAGGAAATTGATATATCATCTGAAACAGAAAGGGAACCACTATCTGAAATCCAAAATACAGTTCCTTCAAAACGTAAAAATGACTTACTTTTTAACAATAGTAAACTTAAATTTATTAAATGTAAAAACATTACTATTAATATCACAAAATAAATTATAGTTATTATATGTACTGGAAATGCATAAATAAATATATATGAATTGATCGTCTAGTAGGCATAAATCACTTGCATAACCACGTAAATGATGTCGATCAGGGGATAACTTATAATGAGAATTTATACTAAACTTACTTGGTAGTATAGTTGCGGGCTAAACTAGTTTTTGAATTTGGCAAAACGTCTAAACCTCAGTTTCGACAATTTTTTTATAAGAATTTATTATAGTTTCACCTTTTTATAGTTAGGTTTTACCAATTTATTATTAAGTTTTTAATATAGTTTTACCAAGTTTCGCATTTATTATGGAGTTTCGCCTGCAACCTTACAGTTGGTAGTAAAAAAAAAATGTTGAAATTGTAAAAAACAGTAGTTCAAACTTAGCGAAGGTAAAAATAGAGCAAAAAAATCAATGTTTACATTGTCAGATGAACACCTGCTGATCTGCGGACTGCATATGATGTACAGTCAACTCCCTCTATAGTCATTCCCGTTATAGTCACATTCTACTATATAGTCACACCAGTCAGATGTTCAAAACACTTTATTATTAAAATCTATCCTATATAGTCACAATCTATCCTTAAAAATCTTATATTAAAAAGTATCGTGTAGTCACATGAATATTTTTTACTGATATAAATTTGATTTCTAGATTATATAATGATAATCTTTTTTAATATCTAAAAGAAGTTTAGCATTTTTAATATCTAACACGTTTTTACATTATATTTTAGTATGCCACCTTCAAGACATACAAAAAAAACTCGCTCTTCTCTAACTAAAATACAATGTAAAAAGATTTGTGTTTATACTAGTAAGCATCCTGGAAAAAGTCAAACCGAAATTGCTTCATTTTTTAATATACAATGGGCTAAAAACATGGATAGATCAACAATTTCCAGGATATTAAAAAAGAAAAAGGAATTTTTGGCAATAGAAGATAATAGTGTTTATGCTCTTTCAAAATGTTCACGTCAAGTTAAAGTTCCACAGCTAAATGAAGCTTTGAGAATTTGGGTTGGTCAGGCTCTTAGTAGCCGAATGTTTATCTCAGACGCAATTTTAAAAGAGAAAGCTGTGTTTTTTGCACATGGTTTAGGATTGTCTGAAAATACTTTGACTTTTTCAAATGGCTGGCTCGTGCGTTTTTTTAAAAAAAAATGGCCTTTGATGTCGTAAACTTTATGGAGAATTGGCAAGTGCTCCATTAGAAACTTTATCTCAAGAAAAAGAATGGCTTCAGCGCATCTTAAGACAATATAATCCTGATGATATCTATAATGCAGATGAGACAGGACTATTTTTTCGTATGTTTCCTAATGAAACTCTTGCACAAGAACCCGTCAGTAGAACTAAAAAGGTTTATTAGTTTTCTTTTTTAATTTTGGGTTATTTCCGAAACGGAGTTAATTTAAAATTATAATAATTTTTGTTATTTTTATTGATAATATTTATCAATATTTTTTTTTTATCGATAATATTAGAAAAAAAAATTTTTTTTTTGTTCTATTTATTTTAATTTTTTTTCTTTATTGATAAACATTGCTTTTTTTTTATCCTTTATATTGATAAAGTATAAACATTTCTGTCTTTTTATTCTTTTTTTTATCAACCATTCTTTTTTTATCGATACATTATAAACATATTCTTTTTTTTTTTATTATCGATAATCATTTCTTTTTTTTATCAATAATCATTTCTTTTTTTATCTCTTTTTATCGATAAACACTATTTTTATTTCTTTTTTATCGATAAACATTTTGATAAATTAGATTTTTTTATCAACAAACATTTCAGTATTTTATTTGTTGGTAAATATCTTATTTTTTTATCGATTAAACATTTTATTTTTATAGATAAATTAGAGGAAAAAAAATTTAATTTTAAATTCTGGCAATCTTTTATTATTAATAAAACTTTAAGATTGATTATTATATTAAGATTATTACGATTTTTATTTTATTTTTCAATATTATTTATATTTACATTTAATAAAATAAAAGTTGGATGTTCTAAATTCAAAATTTATTGTTTATTTTATAGGATAAAACTAGGATAACTGTGATGTTAGCATTAAATGCATCTGGAAATCATAGTTTTAATTATTGATAATGCTGCATCACACAAATTTGTCATTTCTTCTGATAAAAATGATGAAATTGATGATTGTGAGCGATGATGATGATGGTGATTATAATGATGATAATGATAATTATAATGATGATTACAGTGATGATGATGAGAATGATTTTAGTGATGAATCTGAAGAATCTTCAAATCAAAATTCAAAAAGAAAAGAGATAATAGAGGAGGAAAAAAAAATAATCTTCAACTTACTAATATTCGAATCGTGTTTCTTCCACCAAATATAACATCAAAACTTTAGCCAATGGATGCCGGAATAATTCAAAACTTTAAGGTATAGTTATATCATGCATAGTTACAGTCAGCCCTTTCTATAGCGAATTTTGATATAACAAATTTCACGATATAACGAATCTTTAGTGTGGTACGCATTTAGTCATATGAAAAAAAATTCGGTACACCGAATTTTACTAATAAAATGCATTATAACGTTGAATGAAGAAAATTTTATGATTTCACATATGTAAATGACCCTTTTTATAATGAATTTCTTTTAAAACGAATTTGTTTTTTAGTATAACGAAGATTTTTGCAAGATAAATTTTAATATAAAAGATAATTTGATGTTGCTTTCATGAAATTTTTCCCAAATAAGCAATTTCAGTTTACCATTTTAATTCATTTATCAAAAGATGGATGATTTATGCTTTGAAATTTCTTTGCCTCCGTGATCTGACATTTTACAAATGTATTTGATTTTTCTATATTTTACCGCATTATACCAAATTTTTCTGCTATACCGGATAATTTGTTATAGCATTAGCAAATTTTCTCATAACGAAGGGCTGATTGGCCCGAACGCCTATTTATTTTATTTTATTTTATGTAAAGCCGGCGGGGGATATACAAATGAGCATGATTCCTAAGTAATAAAACCTAAGTAATACAACCCAACATAAACCTACCAACGATTTCCGGAGGAGCCGGAAGCCAACCCGAGCTAATTGGAAAAAAGTGACCTGTACCACTACCACGTCCGGTAAAAGGCCAGGTGAACGCACTGGGTAAAAAATAGGAGCGGGAAAAAAAGTGGAGAGGACAAGTCCCCTTTCCAAGAAGTTGTGGTGCTAAACATAAATCTATTCTATCCTAAAAAATAATACAATTCTGAAATTCGTAAAACCGCTAATAAAAGCGTAGGCTAAACTAGTTTCTGTAATAAAGTTAAAATCTCTGCTAAAACCTCCTTGTTATCTTTATTACCACCCTTTTTCTTCGAGGTATTCTTTGCCTTCTTCTGATTCTTCGGGTGTTTCTCCTCCTGGTTATTATTTTTCGGGACTTTCTTCGAGGATGTAGGTTTATCCTTCTTCTTAGGCTGATTACTTTCCAAATTCTTATCAGACTTACCTGATATTTTCGGATTCGGTGTATTTTTAGCCTTCGGTTTGTTTTGTGCTTTCTTCAAGGTAGGAATGGAGTGTCGACACCATTTCAACTCCTTACCATCAGGTACGAAAAACTGTGGCGTATCTAAGGCCCTTAGTGTGGTCTCCCAATTCTCGAAATAGGCCACAAGTTTCCTCCTTCCTTTGCTTGTTTGTATAATTTTAAATGAGCTAGCACCGCACTTCATTAAAAATTCACATGGTTTACGGTCCATCCACAAGGTAGCCATCGTCATATCCT